CATCCCACTCAATAGAGTTAAAAACACACCATGGACTTTGAATTCGCTTCTGTGGCAGGTCTGGGCGCTTGATTTGCCCTTGATATCCTAAGAACTTGACCTAGTAGTACATGTAAGAACAAAGTATTTGTCTCAGTCAACAAACTCAGAAATTAAAAAAAGGAAAAATACCATCAGAGATATTCCACTTGTTGTCAATTTGCTATTACACCAGCGAAATAACTAATATTATATCCAAGACTAAAACTTTGGCAGCCATGTTCAATCTACCTAGTAGATGAAGAGTGCTCTATCTTTTGCACTGTACATGCCCATTAATCAAAATTTCTAAAGACATCAATTAAACATAAAAAAAGAAGAAAAAAAAAGGGGAGAGAATAAAATAATAGTCTTTTAGAGTTAGGAGAAAAAAAACTGTCACCCTGCACTGTTAGGTACAGGGCGTGACGATAGGGCATCAGCCTGTCAGGCTGGCATGTTTTAGTTACAAGGTGTCCGAAAGACAAGCGCATTTAGTGGAGAAAAACTACGTCCTAAAAAGAGAAGTTTGGTAGGCCTGCAAAACTGCTCTGGGCTAGTAAATTTCGACAACAGCTTGCCCGAGGGACGGGTGATTTTTTTAAAATTTTCGTCTCATCAACATTACCTGTTTGTCATGGTTCTCATGGCACTCTCTCACCCAGTCATAAAATGCTCTTGAAATGTTCACTCTTTGCTCCTGGAGGGATAAAAAATAAAATGAGATATTACTTGAACCAGGGCTCTTGGATGAAAGTAATCCATTCTCTATGTTTATGAAAAAAAAAAACTGCACCAATTCTGAAGTTTTTGGTAAACTGACCACTGGCATGAAAGTATTTGAACAGTAATACAGCTAGAGGAAAGCTTCTTTCAAACCTTGTTGATACAGACATACTCTACTTCACTGAAATTTCATTGACACCCCTTATTATTTGGGCATAGCTCAAATAAAGTTTTCAAGATCAATTGTTTTGAATGATTTAAAGTTGCAATAGGCACGCTATGCATGCAAACGTAAACAAGCCAAGTGACGCAAATGTGTGCCGCATAAAAGACTCACACAAGGTAAAGAGTATGCCGGAAAGAATGCTCTGCTAGCAGTAAACTTATGCCACTTGTTTCTAAATGCTACTATTCAACATCCAAACACACCTCAACCTCAATTATCGGTGCATGGTAGCGTTACACCCACCTGTCCTAAAATGATTCTGCTGAAAATGGTATTCTTATCTTTGATCTTTACTTCCAGATCCATAAATGTCAGCTTGTTTGTACTGACTTGAAAAGCATCATTTGTCCAAAGACAACCTGAAAATCTACACAATTTTAAAGCAAAGTAATTCAGTGGCAGCTGAAGCAAAATCCAAGGGAGTGTCACTGTATCAAACATTTGAATAAAATACCCAATTAATTTTATTATTATTATGATGATGAAAAATCAAATGAGAACTGGACTGTTCACAGTCCCCTATTATTTTGTGAGATCGTTTAGATGTAACGCATCTTACCGTCAATGACGGCCATCTTGTTTTTCACATGTACCGAGGGGGCGGGCATTGGGGATTATAGCTCTAGTTAGGGGGGAGAGGCGAGAAAAAAACCGCCAAACCGCCTCCCGCCCCCTAAGTAGTTTTGACACTCATGCAAGATGGCAGCCTGTAATGCAAAGCGTTCTTTCTCGACAATCTTACAGAAAAGAGAGGACTGTGAACAGTCTAAATGAAAACACCACCAAATAATAATATTATGTGTACGGACTGTACCCTGTAACACAGCACTATCCATGCACAAAAATACAAACATACAGCAGTGTAGTATAGACTTCTCTTTGAATTACTCCATCACTATACTGCCAAAGAGGTATCATTGTGTAAGATCTTGTTGAGACTACCATGCTCTACAGGCTGAAGATTTATGGCCTGTGTGCTTCTTGCTGAGGCCATACAGTGCACATGTGACAGAAAAGCAGCTACTGGAAGTTTTAACAAGGGCCTCAAAATAAAGTTAACAACTGCATTGCTAAGTGGAGGTTGGGTGCCTGTGATACCCAGGAGCTTCCACTTTTGGCAGCCAGCTTCCCACGGCTGGGAAATCCTGGCAACCCGGCCAAGAGCCCCCACGTGGCAGGGAAGAAAGCAGACACCCGTCACACTGAGAACATCAGTGGAAAAGGGGAGGGAAGAAACCACTTATAAACTGAGTCACAACATTTGTGATACGCCCACGCTGAATAAAGCACGCTACATTGTAAAAGTTGCCGAACACACCAAAATGGCTGAACCCTAAAATGCACTAGACAACACTAAGATGCACACAGGTCCCAGAGCATGATGGATCTTGGTACATGTGCATCTCGCACACACCACTGGCCAGCAGGTTGAAACAAGTGCTCCTTGTTGTTAACCCCATTAAGTATGAATTGCATTTGACTGCATTTTACATGTACTAAGGAGCACATGCAGGGTTGTCACTAAGATTTCAAGTTGCCGGGTAAATACAACAAGTAGGTGGGGAATCAAATGGCTAGGGATTTCTTTTGGTTCTATTTTTCTTCTATTTTCCAATAAAAGTCGCCGGGGACCACTCTATAAGTAGCCGGGGAAAATCCCCGGCCCCCAGCTCTTAATGACAACCCTGACATGCTTTATTTTTTTAGATACCTGTTGTAACACTCCATTGGAATAGTTATCTTCTTTGGGGGCTGACACCATTCAAGTCTGACACAAAAGAATAATAAAGAGATCAGCATGATTTTACAATTCCCAGTTTTTACAAGTACTGTAACTTCCAAACTTACACATCAATATAAGTGTATGGAATTAGCCTTCCATTCCAGTAACATTCAAATACAGGTCGGTTTCCTCTAGGAGCACGACTGTCCTTTTCAACTGGTTCTCCAAACTCTTCTACAGTTTCAACAACTGAAAAATAATAATCAATGCTTTTTTAGAACATTGCATCCATTGTAACTTTAGTATCTAAGGATTTGTGTTGAAGCATAAAATCAGATACATTTTCAGGTTGCCAATACCCAGGGACATATGCCTCACTGTACTTTGAATTAGAGAGACAACGTAAGAGAAACCTTAAACTACATTGTAAACATCCATGTTAAGCATACATAATTATGATGCATTAATTTTTTTCTAATCTTTAAAAATATAAGATTTTTCCAGAATTTGTGTTGATTTCCAACAATTCCAAAGTAATGNCAAAGTAATGTTATGAAGAGAAGGATTACTGTGCATGTGCCTGTATTAAAACTATCTTGTAACGTCTAATCTACCAGAACATTATAGTTGCATGTAGCGCACTTTTGAGTCTAAAACTAGAACTGATTTTCATGTAGCTTCTTGTGAAATGATCAATCCTTTGATACTTTTTAATTTTTATCTATAAAGCCAAAAAAAAAATAATAATAATAATAATAATTTACAAATTAACACAGGACTTTTAAGGACCTGCACAAGGTTGAAGCAGTATAATTAACCCACCTACACCTCCCCTAACCCAATCTTGTAGCACCAGCTTCTTACTAAGGGCAAAATGTTAGTGGAAGGGGTAGCTGGTGGGAAGTGTTGCCAAATCTTATACCAATCCACAAGGGGGGTCACTAGGAGAGAGAAACTGTCGCATGCTTTTTACCTGGAATTTCTCCATCAAGTGTTGGGTAAGTTTCTCGATCATAGAGGAAAGGATGGTAACGAAGAACACCCTCCACAACGCCACCGTTCTCAGCCTTGGCACGGAACTCAAACACGGAAGCAGCTGTCCTGATATACTGAGTCTGCATGTCGTCATTAATATCCCTTAGTTCTGTTCTCTTAGGTTGTTTACCTTTCTCAAAAAGAACCACCTGAAGGAATAAAAAAACCCTGCTTTTTAAAGGACAACACTCCCACGCTCATCCATAATGATGTTCTGTGGGAAAAGATTCCCTGACGGATAAGAAACCTGCTTAGCTTAAAATTAAATGTAAAGTTTTTAAAACTTAATTTCATGGGAAACATTACCTTCATACACCATGACTGATTTTAACTATTATTATAATATGAGTAGGGTAAATTTTAGTCTAATTTTATACACAAAGACCATTTAAAAGTGATACAATTTCATGTAAAGATTGATGATGATGATGATGATGTTGCTGGTAAATAAATAAATAAATAAATAAAATAAATAACGATTTGCAGGTAGCACATCCATATAGTGGTTCTTCATCTACCTAATTCCTGGTGGAATTGGAATTTGGAAATGTTGGTTTTTGAGGAGAGGGGAAAACCGGAGTATCCAGAGAAAAACCTCTCAGAGCAAGGGAGAGAACCGACAACAAACTCAACCCACATATGGTGTTGATGCCGGGATTTGAACCCTGGCCACATTGGTGAGAGGCGAGTGCTCTCACCACTGCGCCAACCTTGCTCCCCAACAGATAGATACTTTGTCTCTAGTAATCACATTTAAATTTTGGCAAGGCCTGGGGCAATTTTGCACCAGATTCACCATTTTCGCCATTTTTGCCATTATGGCATTTCTGGACACAGTTAAGTGCCAGCCAGGTTAATTTACACAAAATACATTGTAATCCTAAAGTAATGGGTTTTTGCTCAAGCAAAAGAGTATAATTATTATTTCCTTTTCAAAATGAGCAGTCCAGCCAACCAGTTCTGGCAGTTTGCCCCTTCCAAGGGACTACACGGCAATAAAAGAGGAATTCATCAGGAATAATAAAATTATTGAAGATAAACCTACCTGTATGTCAATGTTTCTGAAAGGACTTGCAGTAGTTCCTCTTCCTACAGGTTCATCATTTCCACGTGGTCCATGAATATAGTAATGGTAAATATGTCTGCCAAAGAGAATCGAACACATTTAAAAATGAGTCAACTACAGCTGTATGGAGTCAGAGAATGAGTTTTTAAATGTGTCTAGTTAATAAAAACTACTGAGCAGGGCAGTGTTTGTTTCTAGTACTGTGCTAGCTATTTTACCTGTAGTTTAACAATGCAGTGATCTTTTTACAAATAGTTAAAAAAACTTATGGTGATCCTGGGACTCATCTTGTGAAAAATCGCTAGTCCCAATCCAGAACCAATGAGTCCCAGTTGAAAAAAATTGAAGTCAGAAATTGAAAATGCTTGGGCCTTTTTGTAATCAGACAGTCAATCTGAAGACAGACTACAAAAATCTGTATCACAGTAAACTAAAATTAAAATAATTTTTAGTCCTTCTATTTTAATGCACAACCAGCATGCAAAGAAAGTAGTGTCCGATAGCCCGGGGCTAGTGGATTTTACTATCGGGCTAGTAAATTCTGTTCTTAACTTGCCCTACAGGCAAGTGAAGTTTTTTGTGGAATTCCAAAAAAAAAAAGGACTGTGAAATCAATTCTGCTCATCAAAAACATTTTTGGGGCTAGTTGAAAAGATGTTTGGGCTAGTAAACAATGTAACAATGACTTTCTTTGCACCCTGACAACAAAGGCAAAAAGAAATATGTATCATTAAACAACATCCATAATAACTACCACCGAAATTGCATTAACAGGCTGGATATTCCTACGAAATAATACACATGTTCAGAATGATCAATCAAACATTGCGTACTACGGGATGCATGGCTATGAATAAATTATTTTGCATCTTTGGGGATTTTTATCGGTCCAGGAGGCAGGACAGAGGTAACAAAATCACTGCATTTTGTGCAATGTTCAAAAATTAATCTATAGTGCACTCAACCCTAATAAGGAATGTGCAGTTTGTAGACAGGGAATTCAACATCAGAAAATTCAAATTAAACCCCTAAGGAAGACCAATGTGGGTGTGGCTCAAGCTTAAACTGATCCCTAAAAGAGATTTCTGTGTGGTCAGTGTCACAGCATTTTTTGTAAATTACTTTATGCACAGTACTAAGTAATACCTGAATGGGCAAATAATTTTCAATAGCAACTTTCCATCCCAAACACCCTTAATGAGGCCAAAATCTGCAATTTACACCCCAAAGAAAGATGACAAGCATCCTTATTGCTACTTTTATATGGGAGACCCCCTGCCACTTGCAGCAGCTGGGGGAAAATTTTAGGTCCCAGCCCTTACCGACAGTCTTGCTGATGGTTATCAAATGTCAGATGACTCATGGCAATTTTTGTCAGAAATATTATGTTCAAAGAGAGTTGAGAGACTACCAACATGAACAAGCTAAGGCTACATTCCTTTGTTACTAGAGTATTATTGCTGGTGTAATAATTTAGAATCTGTCGTACGCTAGTTGACGACACCAGTGCTTGAAATGCGCCTTCATATAAGCAATGTGGTCCTGTTTGATTCCAGTTATAACCACAGCTGTAAAGCTTTCTTTTCGCAGCTCTTCTTGTACAAGTTTCTTGACACTCTCTTCATCAGCTGGGATGTGGGAATGGTCTCCAGCCTACCCAAAAAATCAGGGCAAAACAAAGTCACCAATCTGTTGCATATTGTACTGTAGTTTGAACATACACTGTACACCTGGGTTGTTCTCCAGTGGTGGCTGGTGGTCAATGGACAGAGACTTACAGCTATAATTATGTATAACTGGGTGACAAGGAAATATTAGTTAGCTTTTTCACAACTTACTTTAACAGTTGCACAAACCAGGCACCCTGGGCCCAGTTGTTCGAAGGTTGATTAGCGCTAACCTGGGGTTAAATTTTAACCTGGAATTCTTTGTGTTTTGTTCAAAAGCATTTTTCCAGATAATTTTTTTCATTATTTTTTAGAGCATCCAATCAAATTGTAGACAAAAAGAATAAAACTGAATTTGCTTTTTAAGCCTTCATATCTGAATTGAAACCAAGGCTGCTGCCTAAGAAAAATTTTAGGGAGCCCTTCGGGCTCCTAAAGTTTAAAGTTAGGAGCCCGAGCCACATTGTTAGGAGCCCAGTTTGAAATCCATGTATTG